GAGGCCATGGACATTATATATGCAAACTTATATGAAATGATAAATATAGGTCATGAAAAGAAACAAAAATCAATATACTGGGCATATTATTTTTGCTAAGAAATGGGCTGAATTGCATCATGCTCATAGGGCAAAACACATTGTATCATGCTCGTAGGGCTTCTCTTGTATATTATTAACTTAAAAGGTGGCACGAAATATATTGAACAAGAAGAGAATCATATATTTATTTAAAATTAATATTCAATGAATCCATTTTGAAGAACTAAAACAAACTTAGTTCTATCGGTGAACAGTCTATAGCGTTTGCAAGAAAAACATTAAAATAGCACATTCATCTACAAGATTATTGATCATAAGCAATAGTAAGCAATTAGTATGAGAAATAGGGACCAGGAGGCAGCTTCTTTGTGCTGTGGCCAACGATGCACCTCCCAGTAAGAATAGGCTGATGATTGAATAGTTGAAAGATGCCTGTCATATATCATGTTTGCTTTTGCAATTTTGGATTATCACCTGTCAAAGAATGTAAAATTTTTTTAGCCATTTTCACTCCCCTCACTTCAATGAAGGTATCAAAATCCCAAATGTCTTGTCTAGAATTTCTCCAACCTTTTCGTATACCCAACTTCCAATGCATTGGCTTTTCTTCTATAATGCTGTCCTGTTTGCATTTGCAATTCTAGATTATCACCCGTCAAAGAATGTAAAATCGTTGCACCCATTTTCACTCCACTTACTTCATTGAAGGTATCAAAACCCCATATATCTTATCTTGTCTAGATTTTCTCCAACCTTTTCGTATACCCAACTTCCAATGCATTGGCTTTTCTTCTATAATGCTGTCCTGTTTGCATTTGCAATTCTAGATTATCACCCGTCAAAGAATGTAAAATCGTTGCACCCATTTTCACTCCACTTACTTCATTGAAGGTATCAAAACCCCATATATCTTATCTTGTCTAGATTTTCTCCAACCTTTTCGTATACCCAACTTCAAATGTATTGGTCTCTTCTTCTATAATGTTGTGACCACCCTTTCAAACCAAGGACTAAAAAATTCCAATTCTAAAGCAAACATACAAAATTCTTTCAACAGGCCTCTGATGCAAATAAAATGAAAACTATCCATGTTCTGGCAATATTATTTGAAGAATTTCAAGCAACAGAAATTGAGAGAATCTCTCTCTTTCCGTATTTACATAATCCACCATGAATTTTTCCTGAATTACACAACCTTTTAGCTAAATATAGTTACAAGACCAGAATCGATTAGTTCAAAACACTCGATATCCACCACATTAGGATTCCATCTTTGCAGTAGAAATTGCCATCAATTCTCTTTGAGTAAATAAGAAAGACTAGAAAAATTCGTTTGTCCTCTCTGAAATCTAGAGAAAACCTCGAAATTTTTCCAAAATACCTGTGAAATTGGAATCATCATAAGACCTTCTTGCTATTGTCGTGTATTGTTGTTCCAAGATCTTTACTTGAACTGAAAATAGTTCGATTTTCTCTCGTGCCTTTGTTTGAAATTTTAGTTAAACTTTCATAAAAAGGGAAAATTTTCCACAGGATCTGCAGAAATGATCAAGAAATTGAAGAAATTTACAGGATTGGAAGAAATTGAAGGTCGATTCCAATAATTAGTTTGAATCTTACCTTTGCTCTCCTTCTTAGGGTTTGCTTTGGCTTGGTTTGTCAAGAAAGAAACTCGTGAAAAAGAAAGAGAGAGTGAATGAAGAAAAAGAAAGCAAAATGCTCTTTATGTAAAATATCTATATCCTATTGAATAACCAGATAATGAACAGTAAAGAAACCAGTTTCAGTGTGAATCGGAGGGCAAAAAAATGAACAGTAGAGCCAACATTCACTCTTTTATATAAAGGCAATGAAATGATATAATTAATATTACTGATAAATTAAAATTAATTAAGTACAAATTCCAAAAATTCAATTCATTTACAAGCAATGAAATGTTAAATAAATGTTGAGCCGGAATTGAAAGAAGTGATGGACTACAAAAACCTCTCCAGATTACACGAAGGTGACAAGTCAAACAAAAAGGGTCATCTGTTTTAAACAATAAGAAAAAATGGTGCATCCAAAAAACGAATAACCTAAATCTCAAACAAGTGAATTGTATTGAAGAGTCCACAAATTTTGAGATTCAAACAATTTTTATGAAGGGGAAAAATTTTCAAAATCAAAACTCGCCTTATATTGACCGTAATAACACAGTTGAGGAGGACGAAACCAGTCGTTGGAACTTTAGGGCAAAAGGACGTTGATTTCTCAGAACTCTTCGTCCCTTCCACTTCAATGCCTTCCTCCTCTTCAAAAATCAAACCGAAAGCATCTATGAAAGTGAATAGTAGTTAGAGTATGAGATATTACCACCTTGCTTCGAGCCTCGGTCTCATCTTACTTGTTGGATTTTACCCTTCTTCTTCCTCCTTTTTAGGGTTTTATTTTGTTGTGGAACGAGGAGTCAATAAAAAAAAAACTCAAAAAAAAGAGAATGTGTGAATGAATGAAGTGAGAGAAAAAGAAAAGGTTTATATCGAAGATAAAAACAGAGAAAAAAATTGCTGCTTTGTGCACCACGGAGCTCATCTCTGTGCTGCGCGGAGTCTATCTTTCATTATTTTTTTTAACAAGAAAGAATTTAAAGTCAAAAAGTGTTGGCTACTTTGTTTGCTGTCAATTCGCATTAATTAGCACTTTGAACAAAGTGAATACGATCGAATTTGCTGTCAATTTTAAAGTAAAAAAATTCTGGCTTCTATGTTTTGTCATTACATAAGAAACAATGATATGTGAGAAGAAATTAAAGTGGGATTCTCTTTCATAATAATGGGAATAAAATTAAATATTTAATTAGGAAACGAATTTAAAGTCAAAAAGTGTTGGCTCCTTTATTTGCTGTCCTGTTTGTATTAAATAGCTACAGTACAGCTTGTCAGCTTTTGTGAATGTGAAAAAGTAAAAAAAAAATAGTGCTGGATTTCTCTTCGTGCTACGCAAAGAAGTGTCGACGGAGAGGATCTCACTCCGCACCGCGCGTAGTGTTTCACCAACTCTCCGTGCAGCGTGGAGGCCCTCTTTTTTTTGTTTATTTTTTTAGTACGTGTTTTTGGTAATTTGACCATAATTTTGGCTACGGTTATCAAAATCGTGCCCATAACCCCAATTCGGAAAGCTCTTTTCTGCACGCACATCGTGGCATCATTTTCAAGGTCAAAATTCGCTGTTTTCCTTCCAAATCCCCAATTATAATTATTTTCTTCCTTTTATGACATCTTTTATTATGAAAACATACTTTCTAATGTTGTAAATATTTATCCTACGTCCAAAAAAAAAAAATTAACGTCATACACATAAATTTTTTTTAGAAAATGATGTAAATTATATTTAAAAAGTTGTCGCGAAAAAAAAAATCATAAAATGACTGATTTTTTTAAAGAAAAAAGACGAGTTATAAGCATTTTTAAATGTAATGTTTAACTATTTTCAACATTCATTTAGATTATATTTTCAACATTCATTTTTTTTTTTTATTTTACCTCTGGCTGCACGGAGCCATTTTTTTTTAATTGGACGATTAATATTTTTTTTGTCAACTTTTTTAAGACACGCGTTTGATGTACGTTTAACTATTTTTTATATTCATTTAAATCATTCTATAAAAGGGGAGATCCTTCTCCTTCTCTCAAGAAAATGAGGTTTCAAACAAAATTGATAAAACAGAAGAAATCCATAGTCAGCAGAATTATGTTGATACATGGATCGAAATCAGTACTATACTAGACTGTCCAGTTAATGAGCCTAAAGTAACCAGCAAATCCTAAAATAAATTTCACAGCAAAAGTTTCTTCTACATTGGATTGTGGAGCTGATAATCATGCCTTCGACGATAATCTGTTGTTTCTGGAGTTTGAAGTTACTCCTTCGAAAACAATCCGACAGAATCACCTGAATGTAATAATTGATCAACAAGATCCTAAAATTGTAATTCGAGCCCACCGACTTCACGATGTTTCCTTAAAATGAATTTGCTGCCTTCAATGGTGCTAAAGGCGTCCATCAATCGTTTCCCAGGATAGAACGAATTTTCGTCTCCTACGGAAGCAGCACTGCAATCTGCAGGAGTTCCAACGAACTCAACAAAGTGTGTTTTACTTCGAGACAATATCAGAACGAGAGACAGGGAAATGAGATTCAAAGCACAGAAAGTTTGCAATGAAAATTGTGTAAATTTTATGGTAGAAAGGTTGGCTATTTATAGACTTTGTTCGTGGCCATTCGAACAGTCATCACCTTTCAGACAAGCCTCAAAAATCCGAACAGACATACTGTTCTTAAAAGTCGTGTCTGTTAAATCGGTTAACAATCGGCTAACAGTCGACTATTTGGTCGGTAAACAGTCGACTGTTTGGTCGGTAAACAGTCGAAAAAGTCGGCTATTAAAAGAAAATAAAACACCCGGAATAAGCCAAAAATTTAAATTTCATATTGTACCCAAAAATTTTATTATTTACAATTTGGCCCAAAATTTTAAATAAATTTTGTCCAAAAAGTTAATATAGTGTAAAGGTCCACTCGCACCCGCACCGGACACGGACACGGACACGGACACGTGCTCCCGGTCGGTTGGACGAACGGCGGCGGCGGCGCGCGCGTGTGGGTTTATGACCGAACCCAATAGGATATAGGTCTTCCCCCTTCCAAAGACTATTGGTACCCTTTGGGGCCCAAACCCAATTCCAAACTTCCACCTTATAAACCACACCAAAGTTTCCTAATTTTCCTATATGGGATAAGTGCTTAGAAAATCAAATTTTTCCATAATTCTTAGTTTATATGGATTACTTTAACACTTAATATTTCATTCAATTTTAAATGGTTTTCGATAAATAAATATATCACGTTAATCATCTCGTGGAGTAGAACGTGAATATGCTAGGTCCCATATTAATTAAAAGGTGGGTCCCACTAAAATTTGGGCTCAAAGTTGACCCATTAACCATTTTTTCCAACATAATCTTCAGTGTTAGCTGCTTGCAGTTGAAGGTAGGACTTGAAAACACAGGAAACTGCGAGTACTGAGGCATTGGATACAAGTTTGGCAAATAACAGCACATCTCAGCATTGGAAAAAGGAACATTGTCGAGTACCCTGAACTCTAAACCATGGGAAACAGGGATTTCACTGCCAATATAATTGCCCCAGCTTTCACCACCATTGCTATACGTATAATTTCCGAAAGTATCTTCATCATTACATATATAGTTGCTGCTACTACTCGATGTACCATCATTCATTGGCATCATCATCAGCCTCGGATCAGCCATATTGAATGAGCCGTCAATAATCTGTGGCATCAAAAATTGCTGCTGCTGATAATACAACTTAGGTTGGTAGACGTATATATTTTCTTGAACTGATTGAGCATTCATTTGATTCTGATTCATCAAATTAATTCGAGACTTGACATTCTCAATCTTAGCCTGCAGAAGACTACTAAAGTATTTCAGTTCGTCGTATGTCAAGTTATCATACGATGCAACCCAAGTTGGGTACTTAGTTTCAATGTCCTTGTTACGCGTTCTCACAAGCTCTTCTTGAACTTTCTTCACTTTATTCTTGAAGAAAAATGACAAATCATAGGTTCTTTGTCTGCAATCATCATCTGATCTCTTCTTGTAGGAGCTGATCAAATTTTCAATCTCTTCACGATTTTCAGGCCAAATTATAGGCTTGACTGGTTCGTCACCTTCGGCTGGCCCGTAGAGAATCATGCCTATTTTGACTCCACATAGAGTCGACAATTCATAAGCCTTCTTCTCCAAACCTTTCCTTCTCTTTTCAAAAGTTACACGGCATGCCTTGTGGTTATTTCTAAGTTCCAGGGTTAGTTTTGTTCGTCCCATCTACATAAACAAAATCACAATAATCAGAATCTCATTCCCTTTTTTCTTTTAAAAATTTTAACTTCTGATACTGATTTATAAGTATCGAGTGCAAAGATCAGTAAAATATTTAAACTAATAAACACAAATAAAGAAAATTCAAATTATATTTTAATATTAGTACTTTGTTACAAATTCGAATCGAAATTAGGGCTTTTAAATTCTAAACTGCAAGCAAAATAATACAAAGATTTCAATAAAAAACTTGCTTATGGCCATTACCGTTCGGAGTTGTGCATAATACATGCATTGCTCTCAAGAAATTGGAAAAATCAAGAACTTAAATTTAGTTATTAACTTATCAAAATAGCATAATCCTAAATTTTTAATTTATTGCCTTTTTAAACACCAAAACCATTCATCAAAAAAACTGCATTTAAAAAAAAATTGATAAAAAGTAACAGAATCCTTTATTAGTAATTGATAAAAAGAATAATAGTATCCTGAATTGATGATTGATAAAAAAAAATAACAGAACTGTTGATTAATAATTGATCAAAATGCTGCAGGAAATTATAAATTCTGATCTAAGGAACAGAACTTTAATCAAGAAACTACTTTACGAGTTTCTGGGCTTCAATTCTCCGATCTCAAACACCTTAATCTAAGTAATGAATGTGTTCTTATAAAGAATAATGGGGGGAGGTGGGTGTTGAATTTATATGGAAAGAAAATTCTTCAAAAACCGATGAAGATTTTCTTGATTACAAATTTTCGGTTTATTACCTTATGGGTTTCACTAGGATTTAATTCTTTCTTACCGACAAAGACACTTTACGGCTGTAACAAAACTAAAAGAAAAAAAAGGAAGTCAATTAAATTTACGCGCAGAAGTTCAAATCCATTATTTTTAACTTTAATTTTCTACCTAATTGTTATTATGATCTTAGATATGTATTTGTGAGTGCATTTTCTTTTTAAGATTCTTTCAGTGATTACCGTAATTATGGTCAATAATATACAAATTCGAAACGTGGATTAAGTAGTATAAAAAGAACTTAAAATATCTTGTTTATTCTAATGTTAATACACCCCAGTACTACATGTCAAATGCGAACTAAAGTCAAAAATTCGATTTTTGTACTCGTCTTTTGAAGAATGCCCTTTGTTTGGTAGTTTTGATTGCTTCTCCTAAGTTGATGAGTACATTCAAAAAGTGTTTTATGCTCAACATTAAACTTGTTCAATTACGAAATATAATCAAGGATGTCTTTCTTTTTTTTTTGTTAAAGACGGCTATTGCTCTCGTTCATGACATATGATTCATCAGGATATTGAGATCTATGTCGATGTTCATGAATTGGATAAAGCATTGTTTCATAATATGTGAATTTGTAGCACGTATAATATGGTAGATGCTTTCCTTCCGAATTCATCACATATTCGTAAGTGTACATTACACACTTATCCATACTATAAAACATGATAAATAATTGCTAATTGAGTAGGTTTGTACATAATTTAGCCTAAATATGATAATTAGAGATACAATTTGGATTTGGATGTTTTTGAAAAAAAAATGAAGAAGAAGAAGGTTTCTGAGTTAATATGGAGTTGATTTGGAATAATTAATTGTTAATTGGATTGCATGTGATTGACAAGAAACATTAAGATAACAGTCTAGAAATTTACAAATTTAGGGAGTGAAATTCAACATTTAGAAAGTTTGGACATTCATTTTACAGTACTTGTAGGGGACCAATTTCGAATGATATTAAAGTTCGGGGACTCATATGATAGCTTTTGGAACTTGTAGGATCAATTTGGATAAAAGGACCAAAATTGAGTGAAAAAGTTGAATAGGGACCAAAGTGCAATATACAAAACTTGTGGGACTGACTTGGACATATTTAAAAGGGGAAAGACCAAAATTGTGAGATGAAAAGTTGGAGGGATGAAATTATTTAGATGAAAAGTTCAAGGACTTGATGTGAAATTTAATGTTAAAAGGTTGAAGGGGGAAAAAGGGAAAGAAAAAAGAAAGACACGTGGAAAAAAATAGAAAAGGAATTATATCAACCCTGATAAAGGAGATTATTTCACTAGTCTCTGTTTGCCAAGGTTGACTGAGGCAAGCAAATTGTGGTCATTTTGCTTTCGGTGTATTTTGCTGTTTTTTGTTAAAATAATGCTATTTAACTCCACTTAACGTATTTTGTTGTTTTTCATTTAGTTTATCACTTAATGTCACTTAAATCGAGGTTGCAATCCCAATGAAGTCAAACAGCATTTTTCTTTTTTATTATTTTTTCAACTTGATTCGTTTTGACTCTCTTTCTAGGTATAATTCTCAAGGTACTCCTACCATCATATAAGTGCATCGTTAAGATCAAATTAAGGGAAGGAGAATTTTTTCAAATAAAAAATTAGAGAGAAAAATCGAGGAACAATTACAAAGCTAGGGTTTCAAAGTTTTCACGAAAAGAATGGTTTCTTGATGTAAGATCTTTATTTTTTCTCCCTTTCCATTTAAACTCAGTGATGTACTCTAAATCTATCTTGTATTTTTCTATCCCTATCATATGTTGTTGACACACAAAAAGTTCAGCCCAAGTCGAATAGCCCAAGGAATGAAGTCCAATTGGAAGATCCCCAAAATCAAATAGCCCAAAGAATGACCCAATCAGGCAATGCAGGATAAAGGCCCAAATAGGGAAGTCCATGAACGCGGTAATACCATCGTCCAAGGTTGCAAGTCGCCCAAGATTTGAGCGAATGAATTGCCATGCAGTCGCCCAGAGCTGTGACCCTCCTCTCATCCAAACATTCGAGTCGCCCAACATCTTAGCAAACATAAGATGTTATGATTACCCAAAAGTGCAGTTAATGAAGTAATTATTGGGTAGTTCTATCACGTTCCACGATTCAAGGAATTCAATTGAAGATGGTTGAACGACAAAAAGTAATGGCAACAGTTAGAGAAGGCAGTTCCATGACAAGTTGGCCACTACAAGGAAAGTGGGCAGTTATAGAGCAATCAAGCAGTTTTTAAGCGGTTGATCACGAAGAGATCATCCAGGGAGTATAAAAGGAAGAAAAGACATAGAGCAAAGAACCCTGAATCAAACACTCTCAAACAAAGAATATGTAACTTTAAATTTCTTAGTTTAGATTTAAAAACTTCTTTTTCAGTAACTCGTGTGCTTGCGCCCCTTGGAGGCATTCTGTTTTTATTTTCCAATTGTAAAGTCATCGCCAATAAAAACACCCCTTTTTGGGACTTTGTCTTAAGAGGTTTGTCCCTTACACAATCGTCTGATCCCTTTTTAATTATTAACGACTAACCCGCGCGAAACAATTTGGCACGCCCAGTGGGATAGTGATGTTTGGTGTTGAAGATAAAAAAGGTGAAACAATATGCCTCAGAGATCCGATAAGGAAGCAGCAAGTCAGGGAAGAGTCCAGTCTGTGATCGAGCGATATGAGGAGCAGCACATTCTGTTTTTATTTTTCGATTGTAAAGTCATCGCCAATAAAAACACCCCTTTTTGGGACTTTGTCTTAAGAGGTTTGTCCCTTACACAATCATCTGATCCCTTTTTAATTGTTAACGACTAACCCGCACGAAACAATTTGACACGCCCAGTGGGATAGTGATGTTTGGTGTTGAAGATAAAAAAGGTGAAACAATATGCCTCAGAGATCCGATAAGGAAGCAGCAAGTCAGGGAGGAGTCCAGTCTGTGATCGAGCGATATGAGGAGCAGCATAGCTCTCCACGAACAGATGGACAGAATCAGAGCAGTAACAGTCGTTACGAATTAATGGCAGAGTTGAGTCCTCGAACTATGCGTGCACTACTTGGAGAACTCACACAAGATGTCGTTGAACAGGTAAATCTTCGAAATATTCATAATATGGAAAGATTTACCCAGAATGGGAATGCACATTATGACAACATAGCCAAACAACTGAATACTTTGAATGAAATAATGAATAAGTTAGTAGGTCAAATTTGTCAACCAGTTATGCCTCTTGCAAACCACACTTCAAACTAGGACAATTGTGGGACATAACCCCCCATTCCTAAATCCAAGTCAAGGGGTAGAACCACATTTCGGTCCCTCTACTTCAAACCAAGGGGATAGTGTAATGTCAAATCAGAATAATGGTAGTGGTACGCCTAACTTGGGGGGTAATCCAAATGTAAGAGATAATGTCCTAAATAACGGGTAGAATACCCCACGTGTTAATGAGGGAATAAATGTTCAGGCTAATGGTAACAATGGCCCAAATCATGGTAACTTTATTCCTGATCAAGGACCAAATATCAGGCCTCAAGCAAATCAACCGGTCAACCAACCTGTAGGGATTCCATATTACCCCAACGTCATGTTGAGGAATCAGATTATCAAAATCGTACAGGACCAGATGGCTTTTGGGGTACTTCCTGTCATTAGGTCGATTTACACAAAGCCATATCCTGATTGGATAGACCAAGCATATCCATGGCCTAGAGGGTATAAAGTGCCAGAATTCTCACTGTTTACCAGTTTAGGGGAGGTGTCTACTCTAGAACACATAGGACGATTCACACTGCAAAGTGGTGACATAACCGATTATCATAAAATGAGGTTTTTCCCTAGTTCATTAACAGGAGTAACTTTCTCCTGGTTCATCAATTTGCCAGCGAATTCTGTTCAAACATGGCAACAATTAGAATAATTATTCCACGCTTAGTTTCATAAGACTGAGTCTAAAGTTACTTTGACCGATTTGGCGAACTTACGTCAAATGCCAAACGAATGGGCAGAAGGTTTCCTCCAATCAAGACAACAAGAAGTAAATGTTTTGTACCCCTGCCCGAAAAAGAGTTTGTCAAAATTGCTCAAGGTTGTTTGAGTTTTGATTTGAAAAATAAATTCCAAGATAAGGAATTTCCTAACCTTTTCTAATTGAGCGCGAACGTGATTAGGTATGAACGATTGATAAGAGAAGAAGAGCAAATAAAAAATTCTAGCAAG